AACCTGATACTCCGTGGGTGGGTCCCTGCTAGTCTCAGGGTGAGTTAAAATCTCCTTCCTCATCCTCAGCTCCCAGCCTTTCAGACCACACTGAGTGAATGCAAGGGCCAATCCCCTGTGCCTCTGGCCCCTCTTCCTCCTTGTTTGCAGAGGTGGTGCCTCATGGGGATAAGGGTCTCACCCTCTTAAAATCCCAGCTGCCTTCCCTTTTCCTAATTCCACACATGCCTGTCATATCCATGTTGTTTGCCTGGAAGCCAGCAAGACAGTCCCCTCCTGACCAGTGCCTTAGCTCAGCTGACAGTTTTGCTGCTCCTCCAGTGACCTCCCTCAGTGTTTTCCAGAACTCTGTTTCTCCCTGGACTGAATTCTCTGTCTGTTTATTTAGCATCTTTCTTCTACCCTGTGTTTTGCTCAGACACGTCACCATGGTACCGAGGTTCCCTGTGGTCAGTATTAGATATTAATCATTGAGATGGTGCAGGATTTGTCTCCATTTGCACAGGAAAAGGATAAAAATGATTTGGTTGTCCATGGTATGGGATAGATTGTGGGTGAGACCAGACTCATGGACCCCATTCCTGTCTAGTCAGTCCAACCTTTCCATCTGGGGCTTAAAGAAAGACACATTCCATAGGACGGACCCCAATCCCTATGTTATAAAATCTTGACATTTTCCTGCCTTCCCTGGATTTGTAAGGTTGTGATTTATCAAGCAGGCACACAGGAAACCAACACCTTGTTCTACAGCCTCGCTGCAAGGATGATTCATGTGCGCTGCTGATGGCACCTGACACTGCATTTTGGCTGCTCTTCTGGAAACAGTGAGCCCTTTGTGGATATCTGGTCATTAGATGATGAATTTTTGTTTGCTCCCACCTCAGCTTACCCCAGGCTCAGACGCCACACATCTTCATTAATCCTCTTAGCCCTCCCTGATTCGGCTGCACCTTGTTACCTGGAAGAAAGGAATTTGATAATGCACCAGTGAAATGAACTGCAGTGATCTGACACCCAAACCCAGAAACAAGCAACACTTTCTCCACAGAAAAGCCCCACCAATTGCTCTGTCAGTTGTATTTACTTGGCACAGTCCCAGACCACTCTAAGGCTGGGATGTGTGCTGGGCAGTGGCTGCTGGGGTGGAATGGGGGCACACAAAGGGGTTTCTGTGGGCTGGATGGGGCTGTGGAAATGCTGAGGAGCAAAATCTCCAGCACAGAGCAGCCACAGAGTCTGAGTTCAGCAAAGCACATTCTGTAAGCTTGGGCTTGTTTAATGGGGAAAAAAAAAAAAAGAAAAAGGAAGGAGAAAAAAAAAGAAGGAACCTGCTGGAAAAGAGGGGTTTCCATGGCTGTGGAAGGTGCAGACAGCCTAGATCCCATCCTGTCATGGTATTTCCCAATGGATCCTTTCTCCCCTCGGCTCACAGTCAGTGTTTGGGGCTGTGTTTTCACCTGCAGCCCCTCAGGGATTCCAGAGAGAGGCCTTTGCCCCTCTGGGTCTGATGGCTCCATGGTTATGGCTTGCTTATGGTCTAATGCCATATAATGATGTAATTCTTCTCACTTTTAACAATTTTCCATGAAAGGCAGGGGTGACAGTAAATACATTTTGCTCTCAGCTGCTGTGGCATGGCAGCTGTTTGTACCTGCATGACAGAGCCTGTCCCAGTCCTGTGTCCCAAGGCATGGCAGGGCCAACCTGTGAATCCCCAGTAGGCAATTACTGCTCTTCCACAGGAATTGGGAATTTCTGGTGGATTTTATGTGCATATGCACAAACAGGAATTTACCGAGGTTTTTTTCCCAACAATCTCCTTAAACCTTTCCGAATACGTGAAACGTTGGTGCAGCAATTGGAAAAATACAACTTTTTTTAAACTTTCTGTAAGTGTAGCTAAAATTTGTCCTTTCTGACAAACCAGCTGCATCCTTAACTGTTGGAGAGCCTGTATCCCTCTGTTTATCCCTCTTCCCCACTGCCCAGAAGGCAATGCTGCTGCAGGATCTGGGGGCCAAACCCTGCATCAGCCTGGCTTGGTGCCACACACACCAGACGTGCAATGGCTTTTCCTCACCGTGACTCATGGGAATGGGTGTGCCCTCTGCTTCTTTTGGAGCACTTGACTGGAATAACTCAAATGGAGAGGGAACACCTTGTACCTTGCCTGCTGTGCTTGTGCTGGCCTTGCCACAGCCCTGGAGCAAGCCCAGGGTTCTTATCCTGCCTGAGAGACGTCCTGGGCACAACATTTGTAAGTTTTCCAAGTGCCACATCCATGCATGCCCTTCTGGATCATGGAAACAGAATATTTTGTGTTGGAAGGGGCCCTCAAGGACCATCAGAGAAGTCCCGACTCTGATGTGGTGAATGGCAAAGTCCCCATGAAGCTGAGATTTCACAGAAACACAGCTCATCAGATTTATGGTGTAGCTTCTTCTTTTCCTTTGGTTCAAAGTTCACAAAAAATCACCTTTTCCATGTGCACATCTGCCTTCCACCCCAGATCCTGGGATTTATGTATCAGGCTACTGACAACCAAGCTGTTCTGGCTGAAAACCAAAGTATTTTTGTGCAAAAAGCATTAGCATTTCCCATGGGAACTGTGGTTTTCCAGTACCTTCTGCTTCCATCCTCCTTTCAGGACCAACTTTTGTTGCAATCTGCAGCTCCCAGGGTCTGCGCCCAGCTTTCCCAGACAGGGAGTGGCTTTACCAAGCTAGAAAACTCTTTAGATTTTGAGCTCTTATGAATTTGCGTGGAAAAAACTTAGGTGGAAAACATAAAGGCTTCAAGGGACAAAAACTGAAGCCCAGTGGCACATTTTTGAGTCATGGTGTTTTGCTGAAATTTTTTTTTCTCCTGTGTGGAATTCTGATAAAACCAAAATGATGTATCAGCACTTTCTGAGGGAAGATGCCTTTTCCTCCTAATTTCAGTCTAGTTTACTTTACAAGAAGGAAGTTTTCACAGTAGTTGGTTTATGTGGGATTTAACAAATGCAACATAACCAACTTTTTTAAATTTCATTTTTAAAAAAAAGATAATTTTAAAAATCCAGTTGTTGCCACAGTAGTGGCTTTCTGGCATTAAGGGAGTTTTGTAAACGATAGCACCTCTGCTGACGTACTGATAACTGGGTGTATTCTAGTCCGCCTAAGAAGAAAACGGGGCTTTTTCTTTTAAGCTGTAAAGTTCCTCCTGGAGCCAGAAGACAATGCGCCCAGCTATTTCCAATGCATGGAAATCAGGGGTTGTGTTTATGCAGCAATTAAAGGGGGATTACAGCCGCTCCAGAGCTCGGCATCCCGTCCCTCCCCTGCGCACACCGGGAGCTCAAAGCCGCATTGTTCCTTCAGCCGCCAGCCCAGCCCCGGGACAAGGCGGGATGGGAGAGGGGAGCGGGGAGAGGAGCTCCGGCCGGGAGCGGCATCGCAGGGATCCGGCACCAGCGAAAGCGCAAAGGGAGAGGGCGGGGGGAGGAACCTGGGTTAGGATCTCTTCTTCCAGAGGTGTTCTCCGTGCCCGTCCTCGGTGCAGGGCAGCGGGATGGGAAACGTCCCTGCATGGCAATGGTCCTGCGGGGGATGTGCCGGGGGGGCTGGGGACAAGCTCCTGGTGCTGGGAGCGCTGATTTAGCGGGATGGGCTCGCTTTGGAGGTGGCATCCTCAGGGACAGGGCTCCTGCTCTGCTCGGGGCTCCGGCTGGGGTGGAGCAGAGGCGAACGCGTGTCCCTGGGAGCAGAATCTCTTGGAGCACGGTCCCTGTGGCTCCGAGTGGCCCTGTGAGCAGGATCCCTTTGGAGCAGGATGCCTGTGGGCAGGGTCCCTTTTTTAGCAGGATCCCTGTGGGTGGGATCCCTTTTCCAGCAGGATCCCTGTGGCTCCAAGTGGCTCTATAAGCAGGATCCCTTTTTTAGCAGGGTCCCTGTGAGCAGAATCCCTGTGGCTCCAAGTGGCTCTGTGAACAGGATCCCTTTGGGCAGGATCCCTGTAAGCAGGATTTTAATAGGATCCCTGTCTGCAGGATCTCCGTGGCTCCATGAGCAGGGTCCCTGTGAGCAGGATCTCTGTTTTAGCAGGATCCCCGTGGCTCCAAGTGGCTCTCTGAGTGGGATCCCTGTTTCAGCAGGATCCATTTTTTAGCAGGATCCCTGTGGACATGATGCCTTTTTTAGCAGATTCCCTTTTTTAGCAGGATCCCCGTGGCTCTGTGAGCAGGATCCCCAGGCTCCTTTGGCCCCCAGCAGAGCCGGATTCCGGCTCCCCATGGAAACAGGCTCCCGTAGCGCCCGTCCCTGCCCAGACAGCCCTGATCCTTCCTCAGCAGCCTCGGGCTCTCTTATCCCCGAGGATCTCTTTTTTGGCTAATATTCACAGGCGGCTGCATTGCGGAGGGGGCAGGGACAGAGTGGGGGGCACGGCGTGGCCTGGGGTCCCTGCAGCCTGTCCCCCGTCACCATCTTCTGTGGGGAGACGTGGCCGGGCTCCCACCGGCTGGGGAGGATGGGGGACGAGGTGCTGGGGACAAGGATACAACAGTGCCACAGAGCGACTCCAAGCGTGGGACTGAGGGAAAAGCGGCCGAGGAGAGATGGGTGATCCCACCAGGAGCGTCCCGGGCACACCAGGAGAGCCCAAGGGAGCCAGGAGGTGCTTCCTGCTCAGCCCTTCTGGCTCCCGGAGCTCCCGCGCTCCCTCCCTCACGCAGAATCCCGTGCCTGCCCCGCCCGCAGGGACACACGGGCTTTGGACAACCTCTGCAAGAAACAGAGATCTGCAAAGGAGCTGAAAAAGAAACAGCACCACAGAAAAAGTAAAACCCAAGCCCCCTCCAAAATAGGCTTTGTGAAGGGAAATTGTTCTGACCCGACTTTGGTCACGGCCACAGCTGCACCAAACCTGAGCGCCTCACTCCTAAAAATGACAGCGCCCAGGGTCAGAAATACCTGTGCACACAGGTGGAAGCTTACTTTTTCTTTCTGTTCCCTCTGTAGAGTGGAGCCAGTGATTCCTCACGAAGGGAAGATAAATGCAAAAGCTGAAGGGCCTTCGTTACCTGGCTAATGGTAGGTAAAATAAATGGGGGCCTGAGAAGCATTGAGCTGGGAGTAGTCATCAGCCCATGTGGTGACATCCCCCTCCCTGGACAGGCAGCATCAAGAGCATCTGTGGGAATGAGTTGATGCTACATAATGCAGGAAAGGATACCTGAATTTTGCAGCATTTGAATTTTGCATCATTTGTTGGCTTTTTCTGTCTCCCTGCGTGGCTCTTCTGCACTGTAAACTGGCCAGTGCAAGAGATGTGCAATGTCACAGGGGCAAGTCAAGGTTTTGGATTGGTTCTGAAGCCCTTTTGCACACCCATGGAAACATGGATTAGCCTGTGTTGGGACAGACCTCTAAACACCATCTAGTCCAACACCATCTCCAGCTGGACCAGGCTGCTCCCAGCCCAGCACAGCCTGACTGGGAATGATTTCAGGGATGAGGTGCTTGATGATGATGATGATGATTTCATCCATCACCGCTCTGGGCCGTCCCGTGACCCTTGCAATGCTGGTTTCAGAGGTAACACCTGCTGCCAAACCCTCTGGCAAAGAGCAGGCTCCATCTTTTCCCTGGGTTTTTGCCTCAGCTTTGTCTCCCTGCCGGCCCTGCCCGGCAGACTGCGTGGCTTGCAGGGGCATCTAGTGGCCGGATGCTGCAGGAGGGATGCGGGCAGCCCGAGGCTCCGACACAGGGGCTGTCCCACGGCCAGCACCTGCAGAAATGCTGCCGGTAATCCCGTGTAAAAGATACCATTTCCTCCCTGCCATTCCCAAAATTTTTTGGAGAAGCAGCACTTCGCCAAACCTGGAACTTTGCAGGTGGCATCGACCCTCCTTGTGCCGAGCATGTGGCACTGATGTAGGTGACAGTGGCACACATCACTGTGGCTCCCTGGGTGCAAACAGCTCTTTGGAGGGGGCCTGTGCTGCTGCACGATTTTTTGGTGGTGTGATTTATTGAGCTCGGGCATATCTCAGCTTAAAAAGAATCTCAGGATTGGGAGGGAGGAAGAAAAACCATCCCGCGCTGTTTTGCAGAGCCAACATTTCTCTCTAGCATGGTGCAGGTGAGCAGAACCAAATCTGCTGCTGCCCAGAGGAGCCAGGCACACTGCAGGGACACCCAGCACTGCTTTCACTCTCTTTAAACGTTCAGAGGAACACACCTGTGTCCAAAATCCCTGGAAGTAAAAGTGCAGTGTGGTGGATTGGAGGCTGATAAACAAAGCTCTTTTTAAGGCCCCGTGACTCATGTCTCCTGGATTTTATAGGAAAATGCACATAAAAGCAATTACTGGGGTGTGAATTATTTAGTTTCTTAATGGCCTGACAGCTTTGACAGCTCCTAGCTTGTTATCTAAGCTGTTATCACAAACCCTCTTGATCTCCCAACTTTAACATGACTTTTAATTATGCTTTCATAAGAGTAAAAGGACAGACAATCTGCAGTCTGGTTTCCATTCAGTCAAACTTATTTAAACCAGGGAAACTTTTCCTCCTAGTGAGTAAAAAGGGTGATTTGGATGTGTAGGGAGGTTTAAAGATATGTCTGAAGAGATGTCTAAAAACAATTGCACAGATAGCTTAGAGTCTGTTCTTTGTATGACTGCAGGATGGAAAAGGGGGAAAAAGTAAATTTAAGAGAACTTGGAGAACTTGGCAGCAATGGTGATGGACATCACATACATGGAGAGATGTTAGCTGGAAATACAGTGTAAAAGTTAGAAAGATTACACTAAAATTACAGTAAAATACACAATGAGCAATGTTACAAAGTTAGTTTTCTTTGTTCTTCCAGATCAGTCATCAAACAGGTGGGAGGGACCAGGTTAGGGGTGTTTGTACAACCTGTTTTCTTTCTCCCTGTGCGTGTGCATTGAAACACATCCTTAGTGCAAACATCAGATATTCATTTTTCTATATGGCCTATTACAATCATCTCTATATGACCACAAGGGCTCTGGAGTTGCAGAGATATTAAATAGATCCCATACATCAGTCTTTTGTTGGTCTGTCCAGTGACAGGCTGCTGTTTATCTTAAGATAAAACAGCGTGTTAGGGAAATGCCTCTCTCAACTGCATTTCTGTGGAAAATGTTTTTGTAGAGGGAAAATGTAAGGAAAAGGTAAGATGAGAAAAGGGAAAAAAAAAAAAAAAAAAAAAAGTAACTTGAGAAATTCAGGGGCAATAAATCAGCACACCAGATGGTATTCATCTGTGAATGCCGTGCAGAGCTACCAATTTAAAAAAACTGCACGGGAGTGTGCCATTAGAATGCAGACATAATATCTGCCCAGTCTCTCTGTGCTGCCTGGCCAGGTGACTGGGCTCTACCTGCCCACACCTCCAGGTGTCTTCAGAGTCCACTCGCCATCCCCACTGCACCCTTGGAAAATTTCGTGTGTCTTGGAAAATTCTGTTTGCTGCCTAATTCTCTTAATTGCAGCGAGGAAGTGCAGCTAAGTGTATTCTGAATAATCTCCTTGAGATCCAAGAGACTGATTTGCAATGGTCTTTCTGCCAAGTGACACTCCTGCAGAGGAAAATGCTTTGTGTTGAGCTCACAGGCCTTTCCTGCTGGGTTTTAGATGGATTTTGGGTGCCCTGGCCCAAAAGTTTGCGATCCACCTGCGCGTGGTTCTGAAGGTCAGCAGGGAAGTTTGGTGTTGCTGTCAGTGTGGGATCCAGCAGGGGCTGCTCCTGGGGTCAGTTCCACTCTACAGACCATCCTGGCCATGCTGAGTGGGGCTCTACAGGTAACTCTCCTGGCTGGGGTGCACTGGGTGGGAAATTAAAAATGGCAAAATCCAGTTTTGCACAGGGCAGCATCAGGAGAGAGCATTCCCAGCTGGCTGGAGGGAGCTGCTTGCACTCCCAGGGGAAAATGCCAAGTAAGGACCAAGCTGTAAAATACTGGGAGGGTGCACTCAGTGAGGAAAGCAACACACTTTCATCCAATTTGGGATTTTTAGCAATTCCTTGAAAGCAAAATAATGGGGATAAGGAATGCAGGACAATATGTGGAAAAAGGGGTAGCAGGTAGATTACAAAGCCCTTGTTGAGAGTTTGGGAAATTGCAGCCTGCAAACATTGACAAACTGGGATGTCAATGATTAAGCAACCCCCCCTGAATCCTATTTTCACTCTTCCTTGCCTTGAGGATAAATTCTGCAAAAGTGTGAAGCTGTGGCAGGTACACAGGTGCACAAGACAGGGGACTCTTTTTGGTTTGGGGATGAGCCACACATGTTTCCCCTCTTTTAGATTAAAAGGAGACCCTGGTTGTGAGTGCTGTTTAGAATATATTCAGTGTCTCAATAAAAAAAAAAAAAAGAAAGTGTTTCATTCTCCAGTCTGAAAATTATGATTTGTAAAGAAAAAAAATTGATTCAAAGGCCACAGAAACAAATTGAGGGGTCAATTTTGATTTTAATTCCAACAATTAATTAAAGAACTCTTCTGGAGAGGTTTGTAAAATTAATATTGATCTCAGATACCAGGCACTCTGCAGTCATTCTCCATCCTGGTTTCAATCCTCCTGTTCTGATTAATGGATGGGGTTTAGCAGCAGCAGCAGAGCTCTGTGGCAGGGCAGCTCAGCAGTGCTGGGACTCATCCCAGGAGCACAGAGCTCCTCCTGACAGCAGAGCTGGCACCTTGCAGCCACATTTGGCCACACCAGTGTCACTTTCAGAGGGTGCTTTGGTGGCCAGGTGTCAGTTCTGCCTTGTTGGGAAGAACACATTTGATGCTGGAAGGAGCAGAAAGAGCTGGAAGGCACTTGGAAGGGCCTGGAGCACAAGCCTGCTGAGGAAGGGCAGAGACAGCTGGGAGTGTTCACCATGGAGGAAAGGAGGCTCCAGGTGGGGCTGCAACTCTCTCCAATTCCCTGGAAGGATTGCAGTGATGTGGGGGGGGTCTCTTCTCCAGTGTGAGAAGTAACAGGACGTGAGGAGACAGCCCCAGGTTGCACAGGGGAGGTTTGGATCAGATATTAGAAAATATTTCTTCTCCCAGAGGGCTGTTGAGCACTGCCATGGGCTGTCCAGGGCAGTGCTGGAGTCACCATCCCTGGGGGGATCTGGAGGGTGTGGCACCTGGGGTGGTGCTGGGATCACAGCTGCTTGGGATGATCCTCCCCAAATGGAACAATTCTATGATTTCAAAAGAAAATTGTCTGTAGAAAGATTGCCAGAATTGCTTCATGTTTTTGAGTTGTTTTGGGCAGTTGAGTTGGAATTCCCTCATGGGCTGGGGTCTTTCACCAGCAGGTATCTCTGATGGCCAAAGAGATGCTCAGTGTAGGTGCAGGAGGCAGAAAGGCTCCTCCTGCTAATGGGATTTGTTCCATCTGGGTGTCCTGTTCCACAGGATAGGCACTGCAATGGGCACAAGTGAGGAATGTGCCTCTTCCTGCCAAGATCTCATCCTGTCCTGTGGTAGTAAAAGGGAAAATCCTGAAATACTCACAGAAAATTGAAAAAAAATATTTCATAGGTGTTATTTTCTCTTTTGTTCTCTTTTCTTTTTTCTCACCACTCCTGATGAACACTTGTTTTAAGCCAGCAGATTTCAGAGGCGTGGAGGTGGGTGAAGGGCACAGTTCTGTTTCTGACCTCTGCTGTCTGTTTCTGTGCCATGAACATAAAAATTTAGGAAGGGTTAACCTGAGCTGCTGCCCAGAGCATTTCCCCAGTTCTCCTTCTCCTTGCAGGTGCCCTTTATGCCACCTACAAACCACACATTTCCCAGCTGTGTGGGAAGAGTTTGCCAGGAAAATCCCCTCTGTCCAGGGAATTTGGTGAGGCAAAAACCACCTCAGTATCTGCAATCCTACACTGACAACAAATGGATTTCTAGTGGCACCTGGGCCTAAACCAAGTAGCATCAGCTTTAACAACATTACTGAATTGTGTGTATAAGCCTGAATTTCCAGGCTCAGAAAATGTTTCTACCTGCACAATATTAGCCATGTTCACTTTATGGGAGGGTAGTCAGATTAACAGGTGAGAGGT